CTGCAAGCAAGGCCCGGTATTTTGTAAAACGCCCCTTTTCATAACACGCCCCATTCGCGCGTCAATTGTCAAAAAAGAACCAATGACAGCACCCAAATATTAACAAACAAACTCGCATTAAAATGTTGCGGGTTTTTCTCTGCTTATTCAGAACATAAACAATGTGTAAATGGCTGCGTTTTAACTCCAAAAAAGCAAGCAACGCAGTCAGTAATTGCCAAATTTGCAAGTGCTCATTTTCAACTAAAATCGGAACAGGCAAATTAGGACGAATTTCAACAGAAAACCAGTCTCAAACTTCAAATCGTGAGGGAAGTCGTGCGACCACATCAGCATTTATAATGTGTGCTTCGCTGTCGCCATTGTTATAAATAAATTGTCTCACTTACCAGATCGTGTGTGCAATTCTTGTTGGCGGCGGAAAGTACGAAATTTATTTATTTCAGTTATTTCGTTTGGTATAAAGGAACTCTAAAAAAGAAGAGAGCGTTCAGAGTCCAGATCGTTTCGTTTCAAACGGCAATTTAATACCGTCTTCTGTTTCGCTCTCTCAGCGAAGCCTTGTAAATCGCAAAGTGTTTCGAATAGGCTTACATGCAACTGCATCTCAACATCAACCAAAAGATCATTTTCTTGAGGAACATATAACGTATCAAGTCTGTTTGAAATTAATGAAACTCAAGTGTAAAGGTTACTATAGTTTACCCCAGTCGTAATGTTGCTATTCCAACACCTCACGACAAGCCATCCCCATTGGCATAACGGCAAAAACATATCTTCCTTCAAGTAAACAATAAACAGTCTGTTCTTGTTCCATTTGTAATCGAAAAAAGTGATCAATTTTCGAATTTTAAGCTTGTCGAGAGCCTTTGTGATGAATCACTGACCTAATTATGGAATCGAACAGCAAACAGCCAATCAGAATGCCGCGTTCGTGGGCGAACGCGGAAAGTACAAAATACCGGGCCTTGCTTGCAGGCCCACTATCAGTTCCCTTGGGCCTGCACGCGGGCTACCGAACCATGTATTCTATTAACTGTGGTGTAAACCAACAGAAGACTGTGATATGTATCTTTAGTGAAAATCAAAGCTCTATAATTATAGTTCAAACATTGTAGTTCTTACCGATTTTCTTCAAGATTGCAGTCACAGTTGCTGTTGTAGGGTTTAGCTTGGTCGTTCTTATCTTCTGTGGAATATAACCGTCTCTACTCACTATGATCTGATCTTCCGATATGCACATCCCATTTAACATGAATTTTCCAGTGCTGCTTGTCCTTGCCAATATTTTAAAAGGAAACTCAACAAGTGCAATGGTTGCATTGTCCAGGAGAACTCCAGCGTTGTCTTTAACTTTGCCGGTTAGTGTGTTATCATCACAAATACAGGTGTCGCAGGCACTATTCAGCTTCCCTGTTTCACAAAGCTTATTGCAATCTGTTAAACATGATAGTTGAAAATGGTAAGAAAATTCAACCATCCCGCTACATTTTGTGTTATGTAATTAAATTAAGAAATGTGTTAGAGGGCATTCATTGCTTCTCTTGAGTGACATTCTCACGGGCTAGCACAAGGCACTGATATGCTGAGCTAAATTAAAACTTTTGAAGTGCAAGAAAATTTACTTTTTTTGTACGAAAACAACTAACGGACAAATTTGCTTTCGAACAGATGGAAATCTAGTTTCCCAATTCTTCTGGAGATTAAATTTTAAAGTTGGACAATTTTATACTTTTTTCATGATATTTATTTTTGATGGCAGATCTATATCAGAGAAGTGTTCGCTGAACGTAATTAGCAGAATAATTTAAGGCAGAATTTTTTTATTGTGTAGTTAACACTCTGACATTTCTTTTGGCACTCAAACCTCAATCTATATCCCTGGTTTCCGTGAAGTTACCGATTCATTGCACATGTTTCTTACCTGGACATTTCCATGTTGCGCAATCTCGAGTTTCTAATGGTTTTCCATGACACCGCTGGTCATCATTCAGCACGGAATTTGTCCCAACACATGTTCTTCTTCGAGTTTTGGTTCCAGTGTTACACGAAACCGTACAGTCTGACCATCCTCCCCAACGGGACCATGAGGCTGGTACTGTAGAAAATAAGTTAAAAAGTAATTTCTTATTATTGCCCTAACATTCAAGCACGTCATTTTTAGAAGCTTTTCCAGTCACACATCGAACTCTATTCTTAAATTGTGGATGTAAGTAAGCATCCGAGAAATAGATTTTAGAAATTGGCTTCCACCATTTCGGCATATAATCCCGCTGGCACAGGCTGACGTCAAGCAACTGCCAGATTTGCTCTGCATGCTTCAAACCATTTTCCTGTATAGTTGAGATTAAATTGCACATGTATTTCCATTATAAATTGTTAAGTAAATTCAACAGGAAAAAATAAATTCCAATAAATGTGGACGACAGGCGCTAGAATACGTAATTTATTTTCAAATTAGAAAACGAGTTACGCGCGTTTACTCGGTGATTATGCCTTTTTCATATGGTTGTAACTGTCGTCCACTGTCGCAAATTTGTACCCAGGGATCATACAAGCAGCTGCCAGCAGTTTTGAAAAGACGAACACGGACGACTTCTCCCCCCACCGATGGGACATGTGCCCCCCACCAGATTGTCGCAAAGCTGTTGCCACGATGTCGTTTTTCTGTTTCACCATTAAAAAATAACATTCACCACACGTTCTGAGACTTTCGCCACTGTCGTTGAGATAGAACTCGACTCAACTTACTTTCTCGAACTCAACTTACTTTCTGTATTGTAAATGTCGTCAACTCTTGCCAGCGTGTATCGACAGGATTCTCTTTGTGTTTCCATGTGGTCGCGAACATTACTCTGACGACAATTACAACACGTTCGCGATAGTTACGACCAATGCGACTGGTGCTAATGCACAAGAGGAATATCGGGAGAATATGAGAGAAGTGTGTTTTACACTCAGGCTTTTCGAGTATTCTCCCAACATTCCCCGAGTGCATTATCGCAGTATAACATTTAACATTAGTAGAAATTGTTATATATATATATATATATATATATATATATATATATATATATATATATATATATATATGCTGCATCTTTTTGCCCAAAACTTGTCGAGACAACAAATTCGACGAACGCCAAGACGACTAATCTTGGACGAGGAATTATAGAAAAAATGCTTTGTTTTGGTATTTTCCTTCTTGCTTTCTGATACATTTTGTATTTTACGAGTCCTTTATTTTTTTATTTTTTTTGCTGCATTTGTGTTCTATCCCCGTTTATATTATGACTGATTATGATATTATAGTGCAAGTATCCCAAAATGACTAGGGTACACGTTCTGCCCCACAGGTTCCTCGAGGATTTAAGCAGCTGCCTTAGATCGTATTGACTAACAATGAAATACCTCAATGTTAATGGACATATACAATTCAAAGTGGACGTCGGATAAATTTGTGGAAGCTTTATGGTTTATAAACTTTTGATCACCTTTGCACTTTGGTTCTGAAGCATTCCATCTCCCATTACTTGTACATCTTAGAACATTTTCTCCAACCAAGAGGTAATTTTCGTTGCAAACAAAGCTTATTTCATCCCCTTCCAACGTTCTACTTTCAATGACTTCTCCATTTTTAATGGAAAATATTTTCCTGCAAATGGCTAAGTACAAAATATGCGGTATTATCGATAATAAATTTGTGCGTTTACAATAGACATGTGCTATTTCATTATTATATTACCTTTAATTAAAATTTTCTTTTATTTTAAAATGTGGTCGGAGCATGTCTATAGTATTGAACATATTTTTATTTAAAGTGCCACTCAAAGCAGGAATTAACAATATTGACATCGTGTATAAGGTACACACCTATGCACCGTGGTAATTTTTCGGACCATATTCCATCATTGCATCTAGCATTGGAAGCGCCAATCAACTGATAGTCACCATTGCACACGAACTGAATAAATGAACCATGTGTTCGACTGCGGCTATTTAAAGCGCCGTTCGGTATTTTGGACATAGCTGGACATGACGCTATAATGAAGATTAATTCGAAAAGTTGAAATCTAGAAAATCTTGAAAATTGAAAAAACTTTGAATAAAGCCTAATCTGTAGATAGTAATTGCCCTTTCCTCCTCCCAGCAGCAAGCTATCGAATGACTGATCAGAATTGCAAGAAGCTGAATAATCTGGATAATTATTTGCTTTCTAATTTTTTGAAAAACATATCATGGAAATAATATATACGAATGGCTTCTTAATCGTGAACCACGTCTGCACTTTTGCCCATGCGTGCGGTTGTGAATCCGTCATATTGAGTCTGACCAGAAAACTGCATACATGGACAAGTATATAAATAAAACTAAGACCACGTTTTTTAAGTTTTGCATATTGCTGTCTAATTCGCAGTTTGACTAAAGGTTTAAAAAAATAAAGTTCTTTAACGGCGCAAACGCAAATGTTGATGCAGCAAGTGCTGTATCATTTGTGTATTTACAAAAACGTTAAAAGTTTTTCGGTATATAGTAAAAACAAAGTAATTTCTGTTGAACATATCTACTCTTGAAACGTTCTTGCGTGTTCTAAGCGTCACTTTTTCAGAACTAACGTTTTTCCAACTAAAAAAATTGGGTTTTTTTCTATTTTTAATAAAAATGGTATTTGGGTATTTGGTTCTCCATGAAACTGCACACAATGGCCGGAATAACCGTCGAAAACTGTCGTTTCAAAAGCATTGCCTCAGCAGCACAGAAAAATAAGTTAAAAGAATTATTGTACCACATAAAACGTTCAAAAGCGCTAAGCCTCACTGTAACATATTATTCACAGTGTTTATCTGCTTTACTAAACTTTGTTCATTTTAAGTCATGATATTAAATACGTTTTGCAAATGTTATAAGTAGATTGAATATCTTTTTGCGTGTAATGTATGTCACGGGCCCAATTTGTAGGAAGCGCTTTGGCCTCCCTCAGTTATATTTGACAAATATCCTTTTTCATGTTTCGCTCGCTACTCTGGTTTAAATAAATGATTACAAAGCCCAGTCGAATTGTAATCAAGACCCAACGTTTCGACACTCCAGTCTAGTGTCTTCATTCAGTGTCTGTGTATAGTGAAAGGATGCAATTTCCTTTCAAATATATATATATATATATATATATATATATATATATATATATATATATATATATATATATATATATATATATATATATATATATATAGGCATATATATGCATATATATATATATATATATATATATATATATATATATATATATATATATATATATATATATATTCCCCGTTATTTCATAATACAAGATAACTAAATGACATATACACACATCCTACTTGCCCTACCAACGTGAAAGAATATTAAGTCAGTAGTGAAGAATAGTTCACAAGATTATACATCTTCCTGGCTTTCAAGTAATAGGCCCTACTGTAAACATGAAGTACAATATAATGCATTATCACTGTTATAACACAAACGAATGATTTTTTCTCGCAACGCATACCACTAGACTGATGTCTCTAATGCTGGCTAGATCTGGTTATATAAATTCGTGTGTGGACCACAGTAATGTAGGCCCTTCATTGTTGAAAGAAAAAAAAGAAGAAAAAAATTAGTATATTTCAGACTTGCACACATGCAGTATACATGTTATAATAAAGAAAACTGATTGCAGAGAAGCAAACATGAAATGACATAAATGTTGTACCTTTACACGACGGAATTATGCCTTTCCAGCTTCCTTTTTCACATTTTAATTTCCTCGATTCTTTTGGAATTAGAACATAATCTTTAGGGCAAACAAATTCCACCTCCTTGCCGTTGTAAAATTCATTCCCGCTGACCTTTGTATTGGTATTTTTTGACGGATCCGGACACGTTTCTGTGAAGAAATTCGGGTATAATAAAGTGTTTGTAATAAAACTATTGAGACATGCAAAGTGCACGAACTTTCACATCCGTGAGAGGAATTAAATGGCATTACAAAATGCAATGGTTTTTTTTATCAATATAAATTTTTTCATCGGCAAATAGATGTAAGGTGGCAAATTCTTCCTTTAGCTTCAGCAACCACGCCAGCTGCCTACTTGGATAAAAATGTTCATTTTCTTTTCCGTCATTTCATTTCATGAACCGTTAAATTTTTTAAATTGTCGCATGAATTCAGCAGCGGAGCAAATGTGCGATTTGAATTGGGTCGTTAATGATGCATGTGATATTGCTCAATATCGCTCACCAATAATCTTGAATGCGACAATTGCAATAGAATCTTTGTTATTTCCAGTAAGTGTATATTGATACTATCCAAGTTTTCTTAAGATTCTATTACATGATAATTATACAAGAAACTTTTTTTATTTAGCTAGAGGAACGCGATAATTTAAACCGTGTTTATAAACTTGCCCTCATAGCTTGTAGCCAAAAATCCCTCATAAAGAATGAAAATTCGCTTACCTTCACATCTTGGTTCTGAGGCATTCCATCGTCCATGGCCTGTACATCTTAGAACCCTCTGTCCTACTATTACGTAGTTTTTATTACAAACAAAAGTAACTTTTTCTCCTTCCAAACTGCCACTTCCAACTACACGACCGTTCTTAATTGTTGAAATTTGCCTGCAAATGGCTAAATAATACACAAATGAAATACCGTTAGAATGTAATGTTATATTATTTAGTATTTTGTACATCATTATGGGTTTATGGCTATTTCTTATTTGGGAAAGTTATAGGTCTGACTTGAGAACCCCTACAAGTGATAACTCTAGCTGCAGTATTTTGCAGTTTTTGGAGTCTTTGAGCGAATTCCCAATTCCTAAATTCCCAAGCATATGGTCTTATACGTGTAGAAGTTATTGTCGTGGTTTTCCCACAACAACGTACTGTTCGATCTATTTTTATTCGACAATCCAGTACATTCGCTGCAAGAACTGTGACAGTTCTGTCTGATTTCATCTGAAATTAGGCTAAGATAAAAAAATGCATTTAAGGTCATCATACAAAATATTGTTAAATACAAACCCAAGCAACGTGGTATTTTTCCTGACCAGCTTCCATCATTACACGAAACACTCGACACACCAATCAGTTTATAACGAAACGTCCGAATATCACTAAAAGTCGGTCCCATTCTTCCTTGATACTCTGCGAAAACTTGGTCCCAAAATTCGGGTATAAGAATTAATGTTACTTCTGTCCGACTCCGTGAATTGGGACCGACAACACAAGAGCCGGTTGGTAAGATGTTATGAACAAGCCTATGTGTATGTGTTAATGTGTAAGAAACTATTTCTTGATTTTTAAACGTCAAATCGTAGCGCACCTGCTAAGGTTTAGATGGTTAATTCAGATTATTTATTATCTCAATTTCATTGTTTTGCTAGTTGTTATTATACACTTCTACTTTTCATTATTTTCAGTATTTTATATGGACGGACGAAAGTAACAATTATATTCGAAAAAATAAACTCGTCTCTCTCTTTCTGCTACTATCCGATTTCGTACCTGAGGCCTGCGAACGGATATTCTCATGACAGCTCATACACATTACTAATAAACACGTCCTGGTATTCACACGCGAGCTCATAGGCCTATACATATGTTTTGATTCTTCAGTTCAGAAAAAGACTTATCTGATTCTATTGATCTGGAACAGATTGAACAAATGCAGAAATTGAGCGAACTATTAAATAAGGGATGAATTTTCTTAATCCTTCGTTCATACACCTGAACGAGCCTACCGAAAAGGTAGAGTTAAGACTCTGAAATGGTCGTTTCCGGCGACCTAGAGATTCTAAATGTTGAAAATTTCAATACATTCCCACGTCCCTGTTCTGTGGCATGATGTTTTTGCAGAATTGTTTTTTACCCCTCTGTTTAATTTCTTTTTGAATATCAAAAAGTCGGTCCCCAAGTGGCCCACACCCCCCTAGAAATTCCTTAGATGTGCGCCCCTGGTTGTGTATGCGCACTGGAATCATCCTTGTCTGTGTGATATTGCAGATTGAACATCCATCCCATTTCGTACTTTATATTACAATTTATTCGAACAAAATGTATTCAAACTCGTTGTCGTAAAATACAAACCTAAGCATCGTGGGACTGTTTCTGACCACTGTCCGTCATCACATCTCGCACTGGATACCCCAATCAGCTGATAACCACCATTGCAGGTGAATAGAATGAGTGATCCATGTGTTCGATCACCTCCATTTATAACACCATTACGTATTTTTGACAGACTTGGACATGAAGCTAACAATAGAAAAATGAAAGATACATTTCAAAGGCAGGAATAACTAACAGCTTATATAATAATTATACAGGTATAGTAGGTTTGAGGACTGCACACTCAATGAAAAGGCAATCCGGTATTAAATATGATTGCTTTGATGAGCCCGACGTTCCTAAGACATGCACGAGAGTATCAGTAAAGACCATAGTATCAAATTTGGAAGCCCCAAGGAAAATTCTGGAAAATTCCTATATGCAAATAAACTAAAATTTTCGGCTGTTTCCTTTGAATTGGGAGAAACGGAACTAATTGCTCCTCTACCTCAATTTAGCCTATGGTTCTTATAATTTTCGTATGCCTCACTCCCGGATAACTCGAACGCTTCTTAGTCGTCGTTGGTCTTCGCAAAGAACGCCTTAATTTTTCAGACCAAGCTGGCCTTTCTAATCAGTTGATTTCCTTATCTTTCAAATATATGGCATATTATACACAAAATATTACAGGGCGCTAGAAATTCATTGGTCATAAGTTTGCGGTCCTATGCCGATATTTAATTGCTACTCTCTCCATCAAGATTGAAATTATATTGAAATATTCAACTTTCAGATTATCATTTATTACCTTGTGTGATGGGTTTTGCTTATTTAGTTAATTTCTGCACTGTATTTGAGGTTCAAATTTACAATAACCTATCGCAGATCCTTTGCGCTAAAATGCTAGCTATACCATGGTTTAAAATATCCATTAGGGTATCAGACATGTAATTTCTTATTAGGAGCCAGTCATAGCACTATGACAGCAAAATTTGGAAGCTCTAATGAAAATCCTGAAAATTGCGTGTCTATATATTTTCGACATTTTTTTCACGCTAATTAATAAATAATTTTTCACAGGAATCCTGCGGAATTTTCAATATTGATTTCAGCTGGTTTATTTTCATACCTTTACATGACGGTAATGATCCATTCCATTTTCCGTTTTCACACGTTAACTTCCTCGATGATTCAGGAATTAGAATAACATCTTCGGTGCAAACGAATTCCACTTCCTTGCCATGGTAGAACTCATTTCCTATCACTCTTGCATTTGTACCTTTTGACGGATCAGAACACTTTTCTGCAAACAAATTGCAATTGAATGAGTTGATTTGTGAGTAAAGAGGGTGCATAGACAATAACTTTTATAGTTAGGCTTCTATTTTAGAGCTTTGTACTCCATAAGCTTGTTATACCTTCGCACTTTGGTTCTGAAGCATTCCATTGTCCACTGCTCATACATCTTAGATGTTTCTCTCCTACCAATGCATAGTTTTGGTCACAAGTAAAACTGATTGTATCTTCTTCCAATGTTCCATCACCACTTACTTGACCGTTTTCAATGGATGGAACTTTTCTACAAATTACTAAACGAAAGTGGAAAATGCTGTGTAATTTTCAAACGTCAGTTATTTTCTATGTAATTGAAATAATATAACTGTGCCACAAGTCTAGCAATATTGTTCTCAGTTCCGTGTTATGTATTTTGAAATTATTCCGATGGACAGTTATATTATTGAAGTCAGTCAAATTAACCTAAAAAAATGGTAATGAACACAGTTCTGTACCCTTTGAATTTAATCTAGGTGTAAGCCCGGGCCGCAGGTACTAATTCCTCCCGGCTATTTACACCCGCAGAAACGAAAGCGTTAGCGAAGTCTGAAGTTCATCAATGATCGCGGGCGTGTGTAACTAACGGTGTTGAGTGGGTGGAGATCCTTACTGATCTCAAAATATGTGGAGGACTGTCATGAATAGCAAACACTGATTTGTCAAGTTTAAAATTTGTTATTGTATGACAAACGACCAGGGCCGTTGCGAAGGGATATGGATTGGGGGGGTGTCGAAGGTCAAATTGCCGAGTGACGCTTGTTAAATTTGCCGAGTTTTTCAAAAGTTTGTAAAGGTTAGATATAGGTAATGAGAATCATATTGGTGTGCTAGTAACTGAGGGACACCAATATGGCTCTTGTTTTGAAATGGATGCCTGTTCGTGGGTTGTTGCTAAAAAGGAATCGGGT